TACTTTTGAAGTATTTTTATAATTTGCATGGAAATTTGCAAGACACCACAGTACAAAAAACTGAATGATGAGTGTTGGGGATGTGTAATAGGCACGATTAAAAAATTTCATTTTAAAAGGAACACAATCTCTTAATTTATACCAAAATAGTACACTGGTTTAGTGATTATTCAGAAAGAAAGATGAAGAAATTTGGTGTTGTTGTTATAACTTTCCACATTATGATTTAAAGCCCAAGTCCTAACATTTAAAAGAAGATTAAGTACATTTTACAGTATTATTTTGTTTAACAAAAAAGTAAAAGCAAAGTAACTACTGTGAATTTTTATAAGACAACAGGTTTAAGCAGATAACCATAAACTGTCAAGGAAATAAAAGATTTATAACTCTTTCTAGGAAAATTCCTACTCCCTGTCAGAAACAGTAAAGAAAAATATCAGGTACTGAACTAGTTCCTAAATTACATTAAATCATATCACATAGTACAGAACTTGTCACATTCAAATGTAATAGAAATTAAATTTTTATTCTGAAATAAATGGAGTAATACTAAATTCTCAATTTTTGTTAAAACTCATTAGAAAGTAAATGTCAGGAAGTATTATATTGATCATGTCATAGTGAAGGGCAGCCTAGTATCATCTGAGTTTCACCAAATAGTCTCAACTATTTCCAAAGACACTATCTGTGATATAATTTAATTGTGCTTTGCGAAACACATTGCTCATCTTTTGAGAGAATTTTAACAAGAACACAAATTCATTTCCATGCAAATTATAAAAATACTTCAAAAGTACATATTTATTTTCAGAGGCTATGTTTCTTAATTCAAAGGGAAAAAGGAATTTTTAATTCAATAAATTACATATTGAGATTTTCTACATCTTAAAAAAAGCACGTTAATTAAGAAATAAGTCATCAAGTCCTATTGCTGTGTCAAATGGGAAAATATTTAGCAGATCTTAATGGAGCAGGAAAGAGAAAAATATATGAAGAATTAAAAACTGTAACCCCTTTCCATATATACACAATCCTTTGGTCTTAATCAAAGGAGCTCTGGTGGTGCTGTGGCTCAGACACTCAGCTGCTAATCAAAAAGTCAACATTTGAACCTACCTACTACTCTGTGGGAGAAAGATGAGTTAGCCTGCTTCCATAAAAATTTACAGCCTTGGAAACCCTATAAGGTCACTATGAGTTGGAATTGACTTGATGGCAGTGGTTGTGGTTTTTTTTTTTTTTTTGTTGGTTGGTCTTAATTAAGGAAATCATTTCATATGATTTAGTTCTTTGTTTTCCTTCAATATGATCTAAGGCAGCCACATCATATTGATTGATTAAATCAATATGATTTAATTTTAAGGTATTCATTTTATTCAAATATTTAAGTCAAAGGTCACCCAGGTGATTAACAGCACAAACAAAATAAGAAATCAGGTTTGCAAATTACCCTTCATATATTTAGTTAATAACAACTTAGAGCCCTCTTAAACTACCCCAGACAGGGTCCTAACCATTTCCTACCTAGTTGAATAAACAAAAACCTCACAATATTCCTAATTCTATAAACTATTTTTAAGCAGTGTTATACATGGGGTCACCATAAACAAAGGCAGGACTCCACCATAGGTAATAATAACAACCACCAGAACATTCCAAAAGTTGTCCTTTGCATAATGATATTCTCCTAAAGTAACAATAACAAAAATATCTAACATTTATAAAGTATTTGCTACGTGGCAAGCATTTTACCCATATAAATTTAAAATATAATCCTCATAATTATCTCGTGATGTAGGCACTATTATTACACTCACTTTACAAATGAGAAAACCAAAGTTTAGAGAGATTTTAAGTGTTCTGCTCAAGGTCAAACAGCTACTAAATTGCAGAAGTTGGATTCAAACAGACAATCTGACACAAGAAGCCATATTCTTAGATATTTTATTACATTATTTCTACTTGAATTGTTTTCATGCTTGTAGCATTTTATCCAGCTCCTTAATTTTACTGTGCTTCATTCTATGCCAGTCCCATTGGATTTACCATCTTCTTCAACACAACTCATGTTCTTATATCACTATCATTATTCTCCTCTTTTTAATTCAACAGTATTCAGTCTATATTATACATTTGGCCCTTACATAGTATATAGTTCGATTTTGAAAGAAATGAACTTATAAGAGTAATTATCTTTTGATCAATAAATTTAAACCATTTCATTGACTGTGACAACCAGATGTGCCAAGATTCAAACCTAACTCAGCAACTATGCCCTGTGCAACTCATGTTTAAGTTATTTAACACTACTCTGCCTCAGAGTGCCTCAGGTTCCTCACAGTAAAACGGGGATAACAGTAGTACCACCTCATAATGTGACTGTGATGATTAAATGAGTTAATGGAAAATTCTTAGAAAATTCTTAGAACTATTTTCACTGGTTTCTGTAATGTGTCAACATGCTTTCATGAGTAACAATATATTAACCTCAAAAACAAATTAGTCACAATTTATGGAATAAAGTACTATTGTATTTTGATGATCATAGCTGATTAACTGAGATAGTAAACTGTATTTCAGTGAACAATACAAAGCTGAAATCCTTTTTCGAGGTTAAGGAAAATAAGGATGCCAGAGTACTTCTTTTTGTATACATAGAAAAGAAATATGTATCTCCTTCGCTACCAGAGCTCCCTCGTATTAGTAAGAGGTAGAAAGTCCTGGGAAGGCTATCATTATTATCAGACAGAGAGGATTTTTTGGTTGACTATCAGAGTCAATATACTTCCCTATATTGAGAGTAAAGAGCAGGACAAAAAGAAAACCTAATTTCCATAGAAAACCAAAAAACCCAAACCCACTACCATTGAGTCGACTCAGACTCAGCAACCTTCATTGGGTTTCCCAGGTTGTAAATCTTTATGGAAGGAGATTGGCCCATCTTCCTTCTGCAGAGTGGCTGGTGGGTTTGAACTGCCAACCTTCTGGTTAGCAGCCAAATACTTAGGCACTGTGCCACCAGAGCTCCTTAATTCCCATAGAGTTCTAGCAAAATATTTTCCAGGTACCAAGTTCTATAAGATTTAGGTTTTCCAAATACCTAAAAAAAAATCTATCCAAGATATTCCATATTTTTTTGTTTCTACCTAATATATCTGAAAAACACGGGCTTTGCACTTTTTTTTTTTTTTTTTTTAAATATATGTGGTAGTTAAGGTTGTTGTCAGGAGCTCTGGTAGCATAGTGGCTAAGGCACTTGACTGCTAACCAGAAGGCTGGCGGTTCAAACCCACCAGCCACTCCTCGAAAGGAAGATGGGGCAATTTACTTCCGTAGTGGTACTGCCTCGGAAACCCAAGGAGGGGTCGCTATGAGTCGGGTCCGACTCGACGGCACATAACAACAACAACACAACAACAAGGTTGTTGTCAGCTTGTCTGGGCCTGGTTGAGTGGCTGGGCGGCTGGATGTAGTTATTCTCTGGTGAGATTAGCAATCAATTCCATGGTGGAATCTACTGGAGCAGCTGAGTGCTGCTTTAGGGATGTGGTCTGCTTCCAAATATAAGCAGCAGCTTTGAGGAAGGTCTTTTGGCACACTTGAACCTTGCATGTAGTCAAGTCATTGTTCAACAGCCTGCCATGCCCTGCCTATCTTGGGGCTTCTCCTGGACTTGAATTAGTGGTTTGCCACGTTGTTTGGTAATATTGGGACTGCTCCTTTTTTCTTGTCGACCTTGGATTTATCACCCTCAGCAGCCAGCAGCTGCCTGAGTAAATAAAAGCCTCTAGCTTCAGTGGGCCAGGAGCAAGAGGCAGAACTGAAGTCCAAGGTGAAGGGGCTTTCATCCAGCCCTAGAGCCTGGCACTTTGAATTCGGACTTCAAGCCTCCAAAATTGTAAGAGAGTAAGCTCCTGTTTGTTAAAGCCATCCCACTTATGGCATTTTCTGTTACAGTAGCACAGAGGTAACCAAAACAATATATTATCTATTTTATTCAGATAGCAGTCTGATCACACGTAGTCCAAGAATACTCAAGCAATAAACCAATAATCAGACGTTAAAGATTTATCTTCAAATATCATAGCCAATGATGCTTGCCTATGATCTCACAGATATAAAACCACTCCACATCCTTAACTGTGAGCTGTTTGAAGCGACCAGTTTGAGCACTATTGACAATTTTTTTCAGGCTCTGAATAACTGTAGGGTTCTCAGCAGGGGCTGGGGGAATTAGCTCAACCTTGGCATAGTGCCAAAATGTGGACAATCAAGGCTTCAAATAAGTCATAACAGCATTTACCATCGCTGGAAACTTTCTACCAGGTTACAGACAAATTGGGCCATGGTTCTAGGATGAAAAAGTGGCTTTACACTCATCTTAAATGGTTTAATTATTCACCAAGATAAATATTTATTTCTTATTTGCTAGAAGTACTCTGATTTTCCACTGGGTAACCACCATCCTTTTAGTCTCCATATATGCATTACAGATGGAGCTGATTCTATCACCACTGCTGGTATAGGCATTTGGCTGAAGATCTAGACAAACAGAGCTTTGCACACTCTGTCCACAAATCTAGCATAGGAATAGGTACATGGCATACCCAATTAGTTTGAATCAAAGCTAATCACAAGATTATTTGTTTGAGTTAGGAAACATTGTTCACCCTTTGGTTGGACTTGAAGCTTAGAAGATATAAGATGCTAGGTTACACCAGATGAACATATGATCTGACCAAAAGTAAAGTCAACATAGAGGAAAAGATAGTAATTACACACACACACACAAAATAATTGGACCACAAAAGTTTTACAGGTCCTAATGGCAATTTTAATTTCTGCGGTACCAGCTACCCTGGTCTTCAGTTACATTAGAAACTAATTCCTACATGGCTGAAGTCGTTTTCTGATACTATTATCTTAAAGACAAATGTATACATGATGGAAGAATCTTTTATAGAAACAAAATATAAATACATATGGTAAAATTGGCTTACCTTTTGGTTTAATAAAGCACTTGCCAATTTTTGTACTTCTGAACTCAATAATGTAGTTCCTCTGATGACTTTGCTGAGAGCAGCAAGTGACTGATGAACACTCTGTACTAAACGAATGGCATTGAATTGTTCCAGAACGATGAATGATAGTATTGGAGATGCTTGTCGATCATTAGGAGAAGACACTTTTTGATGAATCAGGTTTGAATTCTAAAAGAACAATATATCATGTCACATTTACTGAAATGTAATACAAATTACTGATTTATTAAAATACTTCAATTGTTATGTAAATGTTTTGTTGTATATACTGCTTGAAATTCTTGCTTTATGAATGGCCAGATTTAATATATCTGCAAATACTTAGAAAGGGGACTCTGGAGTTCACCAACATTTAAGTGATGTGGGGGTAGGAACTAAGAGTGGTCAAGGGGTACCATATTGAGATGCAGTAGTTGATACAGTAGGAAAATAAAACAGAAAATGGCACCATGTAAGCCCATGCAGACAGCAGAACAGCTATATTACCACTCTGTCTCTACAAAGAGAGCAGGATAGATTGCTGCTCTGAAGTAAAATGTGAGTGACCATTTAGTTGAAGGCGAAAATGACTTGACTTTATAGTGCACTACACACTAAAGAGCTTGGGCTCAAAACCAGTGATTATTATTTGTTTCTTAGCTGTTTCTACATTCATACTTTAACAGAGAACATGATACACAGAATTTCTGGGGCTTCTCAAATTAGTAAGAAAAATTCAAGGAGTCCTATTGTTTCTAAACAGCTTATGAGGTTAAAAGGGGGAAAAAGCACCTTCAGTAGTGTCAAAGAATTTTTAAAAGATAAATTTGAGAAGTCCTGTTCTCTTAGCTATTATTCTAATTTTATCTATGTATTCTGCTTAGAATCCTAGGTAAGTATCCTTTCTCTTTGTTCTACTGAGTTTCATATTCAAACAATCTACAAAAGCACTCTCTTTTTTTTTCATCTATTTAGCATAATAAATAATTCCATAATGTGATGATCTACCATGACATTGCCATTATAAGAGATACATTTATTTTATTCTCCTCAGAAAATCATCATTAAATAAATTGTATTGGTATATAATCACTTTCAAAGACATATTTAGAGTATGAGCTCCAGTTTAGGCATTTTTATTTCTACTTGTGCTATGTTTAAATACTAAAGTTGCTGCAATAATTTTTGGGACATACATAAATGTACATAAATGTACACACTTAAATAATTGATGGTAAATTCAAAACTAAATCTAGATAAGGAAATCTAACTGTTAACAAATATTAATTAAAATTATTACTCCTTACACTGAAATTGAATTAATTATTTGAACCAGATTATGCAATAAATAATACATATCTCCAACCAGAATCACCTATTTAATAAAACTGTGAAATAAAATTTGGGTTATAGATCTTCCATGATTCTTTATGTTAAAACAGCCTTTTGGCAGTGAATGTTATGCAGGATTTAAACATTTAGCTATCTTATACTATGTAAGATTAGAAAATAACATATATATATCTACTTCCGTAGTGATACCACCTCGGCAACCCAAGGAGGGGTCGCTATGAGTCAGGGCCAATTTGATGGCACATAACAACAACAACATCACACACACACACACACACACACATATATAAAATTTGTTTTCAAGTGGATTTGAATCCATTCTATTATGTTGATGTGACAAATCGGCACCGTCACTATACAGAACAAGTACATCCAAACTTATCATAATTCAAGTAAGTATTTATTTATCTGCAATCTAAACAGAGAGCAAGCTTACTGCACTTAACTTTTTAAAAGGCTGATTTAGAAGAGAGTAACTGTGAAGAATTTCTAAAATTCAAGTGGAATCCAAGGAAGCACTATGGTCTATAGACAAGCACGAAGTGTAAAACACACATTGGATTTCAAAGGTTTACTATGGAAAAAGGATGTAAAATATCACATTAATAATTTTTATGTTGATTACATTTTGGATGTGTCAGGATAAATAAAATATATTATTAAAGTTAATTTAATCTGTTTCTTTTTACTTATTTAAATGTAGTTACAAGAAAATTTAAAATTATATACATGGTTCTCATTTGTGCCTACATTTTACATTAAGGGACAATGCTAGTCTAGAGGCTATCAAATAAAATTTCTATAAGATTATCAGTAAGAATAGAAGAAAAATTTGGAATAGAGAAGAGTCTCAATAAGTGTTTTGTTAATGAATAAACTTAAAAAATGTGGAAAAAAATGAAAACATTAAGGGAAACTGGAGTACAAAGCTGTGATAAATTAATGAGTGAGAAAGTTTAATATGAACAAAAGACAGCAATATATATTTTAACATATACTGTAACATAAAACATTTCTACAGGCCTTCACAAAATCCAAATAAAAATTATTGTTGTTATTGTTGTTATTTGCCATCGAGTCGGTCCCGACTCATAGCGACCCCTCCTTGGGTTTCTGAGGCAGTATCACTACAAAAGTAGACTGCCTAATCTTCCTTCTGAGGAGTGGCTTGTGGGTTTGAACCGCCAGCCTTCTGGTTAGCAGTCAAGAGCTTTAGGCCCTATGCTACCAGAGCTCCTTAAATAAAAATTAATGTAAAATAATTCTAACTCTAAATTAGAGTTACCTAAAAATAAAATAGGTATTTAACACATTCTAAACAGATTAAGAATAGAGAAGTTTTAACACAGTGGCAACATACTGGATTGCATGTTAACATAATCTTAAAACTCAAAACATACTGAAATTAATTATCATTTATAATTAAAATACAGCTGAAATCACCACATAAGTAAGTTACAACACTATATACAGTGTGATTTTTGGTGTAACTATTATGAGGTGGCAGCCACATCTTTAGTCCATTGCTTATTAAAATATGTACTTGAATGAACCATATTGTATACTTTCTAAGGATGGCTTTGACATCTTAAAGTTTACCTTATCACTTAAAATTTTTTTTTTATTTTTATTGAGATTTAGGTGAAAGATTACAGAACAAAATGGTTTTCCATTCAGCAATTCATACACATTTTGTTTCAAAACATTGATTAAAATTCCCACAAAGTAACAGAGCTCTTCCCACTTCCTCCCTGGAATGTTTACCATTTCCATTTGTCCTTTCCTATCCCTTTCTGCCTTCTGAGCTTTATCCTAGGGCAAATGCTGCCATTCTGATCTCTTACGGTTGACTGTTGTAAGGGGATATACCTCCCTAGTGTTACTGTTCATCTTAAAGGCCTGTCTCTTGTTTGGCTGAAAGTTGAATCACAAAATTTGAAGGGTAACTAAGGAATTCCACTGGTCTTTACCAGGCCAGTAAGCCCAGACTTTTATGATTATGAGTTTTGGTACATGTTTTTCTACCACTACATCTAGAGCTCCTATTATAATCCCTTTCAAGCAGTTAGCAGTGGTAGCTGGGCACCATCTAAATCTTCTGGTCTCAGAGTTGTGAAAAATGAGGTTTGCTGGTCAATAAGTCCTCTGGACTAACTGTTTCCATGTGTCTTTGATTTTCTTCACTCTTCTTTACTTTGGAGGAGGAGAGACCAATAACTGTAACTTAGAAGTCTGTTAGCAAGCTTTTAACACCCCAGTCATTACTCATTAAAGTAGGATGCAGAACAATGTCTTTGTGGATTATGTTATGTCAATTGACCCTCTTATGCAATGAGAGCTGGACAATTTATAAGGAAACCGAAGAAGAGGTGATGCTTTTGAGTTGTGGTGTTGGAGAAGAATGCAAAGAGTACCATGATCTGCTAAAAGTAGTAACAGATCTGTCCTAGAGGAAGTGCAGCCAGAATGCTCCTTGGAAGTGAGAATGGCCAGACTTCGTCTCACCTACTTTGGTCATGTTATCAGAAGGAACCATTCCCTGGAGAAGGATATCATGCTTGGTAAAGTGGAGGGCAAATGAAGAAGGAGAAGGCCCTCAACAAGATGGATAGACACAGTGACTGCAACAATGGGCTCAGATATAGCAAGGATCATGAGGCTGGCACAAGACCAGGCAGTGCTTTGTTCTGCTGAGAGTCAGAGATGATTCGACGTCACCTAACAACAACAACAACAACTGACTCTGATGTTCCCTGAGACTATGCTGATGAGCTCCAGGCCCAGGAACTCATTCCCTCAAGGTGTTGGGTTATGGCTAAGAAGTTATCATGACTTTGCCCCCCATATGCTCTATTCATGGATGTATTTGAAGCACATATAAATACTTATGTAGAAATATCCTCTATAAATTTCTCTATATATTCATAAGTATAGTCCCATTCACCTTTGCACACCTATTCCACTTGCATGTCTATTTATGGATCCACCTGTAGATTACTATTATTACAGGATTGTGTACATAATACTATTTATCTTCGTTGCCTTTAACTCTTGTGCTCCTCTCCTCCTAGCATCTTCCTTTGCCTTGAGCATTTTGTGCTGACCTCTCCTTTATTGTGTATTGCCTTTCTCTTCACCCAAGTTAATATGTTTCTACCCTCTAGTGAGGGATATATCAGCCCCTTCCCTCTCAAAATGTTTCTATGTGCAATTTTTTCCTTGACTATTTACATTACTGATTTCATACAATATTTGTCCTCTTCTGATTGACTAATTTCACTTAGCATAAGGTTCTCTAGGTTCATCCATGTGGGGAGGTGTTTTACGGATTCACTGTTACTCTTTAACATAGTATTCCATTATGTGTATGTACTAGTTTGCTTATCCATTTATCAACTGACAGACCCTTAAGTCATTTTCATCTTTTTTGCTACTGTGAATAATGCTGAAATGAACTTGAGTATTCATATATCTACTCATGTCACAGATTTTATTTCTGTAGGATATAGGTGTAGTAGTAGGATTGCTGGATCATATGGTATTTCTATTTCCAATTTTTTAAGGAAGTTCCATACTGTATCACAGTGGTTGTACCATTTTACAGTCCCATCAGCAGTGTATGAGGGTTACAGTTTCTCCATAGCTTTTCTAGCATTTGTTGTTTTTGTTGTTCTCTGTTTTTTGTGGGGTTTTTTTAAACTTTGCTATTAATGCTGGGATGAGATGGGTATCTTGTTGTTTTGCTTTGCATCTCTCCAATCGATAATGACCATGAATATTTCTTCATATATTTGTTGGTTGCCCGAGCCTTCTTTGGTGAAGTGTCTGTTCATGTC